TGGGTGGACGGACGGACGGATGGATGGACGGACTGATGGATGGACGGACGGATGGATGGACTGAAGAATGGATGGATGGACTGATGGATGGACGGATGGATGGATGGATATATGGATGGATGGATGGATGGATGGACGGATGGATGGACTGAAGAATGGATGGATGGATGGACCGACGGACGGATGGATGGACTGAAGAATGGATGGATGGACTGATGGATGGACGGATGGATGGATGGATATATGGATGGATGGATGGATGGATGGATGGACGGATGGATGGACTGAAGAATGGATGGATGGACGGATGGATGGACTGAAGAATGGATGGATGGACGGATGGATGGATGGATATATGGATGGATGGATGGATGGATGGATGGATGGATGGATGGATGGACGGATGGATGGACTGAAGAATGGATGGATGGACGGATGGATGGATGGATATATGGATGGATGGATGGATGGATAGATGGACGGATGGATGGACTGAAGAATGGATGGATGGATGGATGGGTGGACGGATGGATGGGTGGACGGACGGATGGATGGGTGGATGGATGGACGGACTGATGGATGGACTGAAGAATGGATGGATGGATGGATGGATGGATGGATGGATGGGTGGATGGATGGACGGACTAATGGATGGACGGATGGATGGATGGGTGGATGGGTGGACGGATGGATGGGTGGACGGACGGACGGACGGATGGGTGGACTGAAGAATGGATGGATATATGGATGGATGGATGGATGGATGGATGGACGGATGGATGGATGGATGGATGGGTGGACGGATGGGTGGACGGACGGATGGATGGGTGGATGGATGGACGGACTGATGGATGGACTGAAGAATGGATGGATGGATGGACTGAAGAATGGATGGATGGATGGATGGGTGGATGGATGGACGGACTAATGGATGGACGGATGGATGGATGGGTGGACGGATGGATGGGTGGACGGACGGACGGACGGATGGATGGATGGACGGATGGATGGACTGAAGAATGGATGGATGGATGGATGGATGGATGGACGGATGGATGGACTGAAGAATGGATGGATGGACTGATGAATGGATGGATGGACTGAAGAATGGATGGATGGACGGATGGATGGATGGGTGGACGGATGGATGGGTGGACGGACGGATGGATAGATGGGTGGATGGATGGACGGACTGATGGATGGACTGAAGAATGGATGGATGGATGGATGGGTGGACGGATGGATGGGTGGACGGACGGATGGATGGATGGATGGGTGGACGGACGGACGGACGGATGGATGGATGGATGGGTGGACGGACGGACGGACGGATGGATGGACGGATGGATGGACTGAAGAATGGATGGATGGATGGACGGATGGATGGACTGAAGAATGGATGGATGGACTGATGAATGGATGGATGGACGGAAGAATGGATGGATGGACGGATGGGTGGACGGACGACAGAAGGGATGGACGGATGGACTGAAGAATGGATGGATGGACGGATGGATGGATGGGTGGACGGATGGATGGGTGGACGGACGGATGGATAGATGGGTGGATGGATGGACGGACTGATGGATGGACGGATGGATGGACTGAAGAATGGATGGATGGATGGATGGGTGGACGGATGGATGGGTGGACGGACGGACGGATGGATGGATGGATGGGTGGACGGACGGACGGACGGACGGACGGACGGATGGATGGATGGATGGATGGACGGACGGATGGATGGTTGGATGGATGGACGGATGGACTGAAGAATGGATGGATGGATGGATGGACGGATGGATGGACTGAAGAATGAATGGATGGATGGACGGATGGGTGGACGGACGACAGAAGGGATGGACGGATGGACTGAAGAATGGATGGATGGACAGATGGATGGATGGGGATGGATGGACGGACTGACGGTATGACGGATGGATGGATGGATGGACGGATGGGGATGGATGGACGAATGGATGGACGGACTGACAGTCTGACGAATGGATGGATGGATGGACGGATGGGGATGGATTGACTGAAGAATGGATGGATGGACTGAAGAATGGATGGATGGACGGATGGGTGGACGGACGACAGAAGGGATGGATGGATGGACGGATGGATGGACGGACTGACGGTATGACGAATGGATGGATGGGGATGGATGGACGAATGGATGGACGGACTGACGGTATGACGAATGGATGGATGGATGGATGGACGAATGGATGGACGGACTGACAGTCTGACGAATGGATGGACGGACTGACAGTCTGACGAATGGATGGATGTCACCAGGTTGTAACTGTAAATGTTGTGTTTTTCTTGTGATCACAGGCCTCAAGTGTTCTTCTGTCCCGGAGGAGGAGTGACACACACGTGCCATCAGGGGGCTCGGCGATCTCCTCTGTGCTGATACGAGTCTTCAAGCTGTTCACATCAACTCTGGAACATGGACATGGAATATGGTGCTGTCTATCTTGTGGACTTCTAAACTATTTTTATCCTCCTGAGCTTTTGAACTATGCTTTGTGTGAGCTCTTTGCGTGTGGAATTTAAGGACTCTTAAATTGAAACGCTCTCTCCTTTCCCTGCTGAGCAGGTGGTGCTGGAGGCTGCTTCCCTTTGGAAGCCTGATGGATTGAGAGATGTTACGTTAAAACCCTTCCCCCCACTGTTTACACTCACTCTGCTTGGGTTCCCGGTGGCACATCTGGTGGCACTAGCCCTCCCTCCTGAGCTGAAAGTTAAATCCTGAAATTACAATTATGTCTGGTTTTTTAATGTACAGGAGCAGTGTTTCAAATAAATTTCTCAGAGGAAGACAGAAAAACTAAGAGGATGTTTCTGCATCTTTTTCTGTTCATTGAAAATAAATGACCACGGTGGATTCTGAGGTAAATAAGTGCCTCTGAACCGCCTCAACTCAAGGTAAGCTTGATTTGTGCTTATACTTTTGAATATGGTTAGCTTTAAGTCTATGTATTGTTTGCTTATAATGTGCAGGAAAGGGTGATTGTAAAGTGCACCAGATATACTTTTGTCATATATATATATGACAAAATATATATATATAATACATAGATAGATAGATAGATAGATAGATAGATAGATAGATAGATAGATAGATAGATAGATAGATAGATAGAATGAATATTATATTATATTATAATAAGTATTTACAATAAATATAGTCAAGTATATTTATTTTCACATTTGCATAATTCCAAAAAACACTTATTTTACATCTACAGAGATGTACAGAATGAAAATTATATATATATATATACAATTTTATTGTTATTTATTATATTACTAGTAGGATTATATTATACTAATTCTGTCAGACAGTATTTCAAAGTTCTTCCTCTAGTTTTCTGTCAAAATAGAAATGTGGAGGATTATCATTATATCTAATGATTATCATTTTATATATATATATATATATAGTATATTTGTTGTGTTAATATGAATACAAATTATAATAATTTAGTAAAAAAATAATAAAATAAATAAGTAATATGAATAAAATCATATAAATAATATATCATATTTGTAAAAGAATATATATATATATATATAGTAATGTATTTTGTAAAGTCTCAAGTGTTAAGTGTCTAGTACATATTAAAATGGTTACTAAAAAAGATCTAGCACAGAATTGAACAGCTGAGCTTGTTGTTTTAGAAACTAAACTATAGATATTCATGATTTTATGAACCTGGTTTTATGTCACTGTCACGCAACTCTGCTGTGGACGAGAGAGATAGTGGTAAAATCGAGGTTTTTGCCTCCGGCTGGTCCTTCCATCTCACTCTGTTACATCTGCCACAAGAAATGCCATTGCATTACAATCAAAGAGAAACCCAGGAAGAAAAAGCTCCGGAATATGGGCTGTGGCTCACAGATAGCCATGAGTCATTTGTGCTTTCAGAAATAAGGAAATGAGAAGTAGATGTCTTTTACGATCATGGTATTTGAAGCTTCTTTGAAACTCCTCAACTAGAAAACATGCAGGAAAAAAAAAATTGCCACATGATGTGAATTTAGAAAGAGCTTTTGATATGGAAATAAACAGCATATTGAGTGTATTCACACATGCACTTTCCTACTAAAACTGGTCATGAATTTATGATTGGTTGTGGCTGTTACTGACGGTGCTTTTATTGTTTTGACAATTGAGATATTACAAAGTTGTTGACAATATATTTTATGGATCCATTAGATGTGCACATAAAAAGTGTCGAGATCATCTCCTCGGGTCAGGTATGAATGGAGATGAATCATGTATCTGTTAGATTAGATAAAACGCAAACCCTCTTTCCTCAGGCTATTCTTAGACTTCAGCTATTGTGCTTTTATGCGACCCATTCTGTCTGTAAAGTGTTTAACGCATTCACTCCCAGAGGCATTCAGCATATGGACCAGGACTCCTTGTCCTTTGGGCACATCTTCAACCCTCCAGATGGACTTTCCCAGATCTCCACATGCACAGATGAGACCAGACACACTGTAAACGACATCTGCATGCATTTGGTAGAATTAGCATCTGTCTGTTTAACATGAGTTGCAATTTCCTAATGCAACCCATGAGCTGATAGATCACTGACGGAGGATCAGAATAGATAACTAATTATTAAAACACATTTTTGAAGGCGTTGCTTTTCATTTAAAAAAATATATATTTTTATATTTTTGTATCACTATACATGCAGTTTTCATGATGTCATAACTTGTTTTATGAATGCTCAAATAATCAAAATATAAAAAATATCTGCATTGCAAAATGGCAGGCGATTTTTGGATGGATGGATTGATTGATTTTAGCTTTTCACATATGCACTTTCCATTATACATGCATATGAATTTCCCCCTTGAAACTTGATGATGACTTGATTTTCATGTAAACTACTCATTTGCAGGAGAAGACATGTCTAGTTCCTCTTCTCACACTTACTCTTTTGTGAATGAGGTTTTCTAAAGAGTCAGAAGCAGGACTTATTATTGATTCTCTCTGATTGGACTGTTTGTAAAACAATCGATTTACCTTAATCTCAAGGGAGCGCTCATGTCTTTCCCAATCCAGTGAGTGGAGGATTTCAGCACCACGCCTCTCTGGACAGCTCCTATAACAGCACCTGCACGCATGACTGTCGCTCTCACACACTCTGACACTCATGGAATAAGTGTGTCCATGGAATACTAGTCCAAAGATTCTTCAAACAAGCTTCCCATTTCTTCTGTGAGCCATGACTGAGAGAAGACTCCTTCCACCGGATGATGACCAGGGTTCCCTGTTGTCCAGACTGGGCACCGACAGCCCTAAACCCCGAGTGAAGTTCGGGGGGATGTTCTGTAACATCGAAGGAGCTTATGAGAATAAAACCCTGAATTTTGAGTCGTACAGCCCCAGTTCTGCCAGGAGAACCCCCCGGGGACGAGTGGACGATCAGAGGGACAATTTCAGCGACACGTCGAGCATGAGTGATTTCACCAGCGTGAGTCAAACAACCCCTCCGAACCGAACACAGTCCAGCCCGTCCTGCAGTTCACAGGGTCAGACCCTCGTTTACCCCACCGGACCCAGTCGCGTGCATAACGGGCGGCGAGAGGTAATTACATATTCTTCGACTATTCCTGTTAATGTGTAGATCATGGAACTCTCACTGCAGTTTAAATAGGCTATATTATTTCATTTATGTAGCCAGTTTACATAATGTTTGTCTCAAATCTTTATAAAAAGCAAGTGAAACTTGTCATTTAGAACATAATGCTCTAATAATGTTGTTTTGGGCAATATCAGGCTCACTCAGAGATGCTAAAGTTGTGACCAGTGGGGGGAAAAACAGACTCGTAAATATCTATAGCCTATATACACTTTTTGCCATTGGCTGGGGGGGAAATGGCCCAATTAACCTGAATTAATATATATAGGCCTATATATATATATGAGAGAGAGTGAGTGAGTGACATTCATGTTGTTGTCTAATTACAGAAGAAAAAATAAATGTAGGCACCTTTTTTTTTTTTTTTTTTTTTTTTTACAATTTATCTGTCAGTAATAATGGTGTATTTATTTTAATCATTCGGCTTGCAATCAACAGCATGGATGATTTTTAACTATTTTATTTTATTAAAAAAAATGTCTAATGCATTGGACAGACACATAAATGGGCAAGATTATATATATTTTTTAATGTTTTCTTCTTTTTGATGTAATAATTTGTCCGTCAATAAGTTAAATTTACCCTATTACTTTGCAATAGTTAAAGTAAACGATTTTCTGAGATTGTGACCCAAGAATAAAATGTTTTTTCACACTTTTAAAACTTGAAAACAAAACATGCATTTCTGTCTTTGTTCTAACCAAAGAGTAAAATACATACATATACTTTCTTACTAACTTTCTTCTTAAGTGAGTTAATTTGTGGAAGTCCAACATTTTCTTTTAATAATTGTGTGAATTAGAGACTGGTTCCGCCTCGCCCCTGACTCTGAGTGTGTGAATACTAAAGCAGCAGATGGTAGGCAGACACAGACAGAGAGGGTGGGGGATCTGGAGTGCTTTTGTCTACTGTGACTATTGAACCCCGGTAATCTTAAACTAAACTACACCCCGCCCGAATACTGACACCCGTCCACGCGCCCCGTCGCTGCGCCTTTATTCTGACGTGAGCGAAGATTCGATCATCATCATCATCGCTCGCGTCCTCTGGAATCAAAGCTGCTCCCAGACCGGTGCCATGTCTTTCCCAGGCAAGAAGAACAACCCTCGCGTCACGGTAAGAAATGTTGGCGATTAAAACCCGAGGCCACCGGTGAATGTTTTCTGGCTGCATAACGGAGACATAGTAATGAGGATGATGATGATGATGATGATGATGATGATGATGGTTTTATTGTGCAGTCATGGGTGAGCCGCCGCCGGCAACAACCTGCTGTCCTCGAAACACTGCTCAGAAAGCCGGTCAACATTTAAGAGCACTAATGCATTTCATGATGTGAGAAATGCAAACGCTGTGCATGAGTCTGTGGTTCAGTGTTTAATGTGCTACGGTGGAGGCTAATGCCGGTTTCTCGTGTCCATTGTGTCCATTCATTCATTCATGCATTCATGCATTCATGCATTCATTCATGTCGGCTAGTATCGGTGCCGGTTGTTCTGACTTCTTCGTGAATAGAAAATACGCGTTTTATCTGGATGTTTTCAGCAATACAACCGCTGCTCCATTTCCGCACAGTGCACGCAACGTCAGGATTCCACGCACGTCGCGAGCGTTCAGATCTCTTCTCTGGCCTAGACGTGTGACTGGGGGCCCTGCCCATGAGCCCTGGCCCCTGGCAAGCATTATTGAAAGCATTTTTGGTGAATGTAAACCCTATTTTACAGTTCTAACCCCTATGTCTATATGCCAATACCAACTCATTTGGCATATTGAAATATGCTTGTTGCAGTAAAATATGCTTATAATAATAATATAGACACAACACAATGAAAAGCCATAATGACTTTTTTGGCCTCTCAGCAATTGTGGTCAATTACAGAAAGACAGAGCACTTTGTGCGCACACAAAACACCATAACACACATGACATTAAAAGTAACATAACAGTTCAGAGTAGTTTATTGCTGAGAGAAAAAAATATAGGCTATATACATTTTTTTTATTATTATTTTAACAAATGTAATCACACAGGTAGTAATGGAATCCCAATGAATAATTTCATTAATTCATTGCTTTTGTTAAACACAATTAAACATTCTCAGTAAACAATGTTTATTTATTTATTTTTACCATTAAAAGTAAAGTAAAATTACATGTATTGTCATAAAATGTAATGTTAAAATAAAGTAAATTAACGGGTTTTCATTGTAGCACTTCTGCATTCTTTCTCTGTTAAAATAACATTATTCGCAGTGTGGAACAGTCAGTATGGTGTACTTTTTTCTTTTCTTTTTTTTAGGATTGAAAATTACAAAGTAGGCCTACACTTTACCCAATGCTCCCTATCATATCATAACAATAGTACATTTAAAGAAAAGAAAGTTTGCTTTTATTGTTTATATGTTCTTGACCATGTCTGGTTCAAGTAACAAAAGTGATTTTCTAGTGTATTTACCTAAATATAATGACTTTAGACTATGAAAGGGATAAGCGAGGATTCACCCATGTGCAGAAAGCGAGCGAGAAAACCCGGGGAAGAGCGCTGTTAACTCAGACAAATTGGATCCAATTCCCTTCCGCACAATTTGGCATTGCAGCCTGACCGCTACAGAGTCCCCTGTCTGACCCACATTCAAAGCACAGTGAAACACATATACTCAGCATGATTTTGGAAACATCTGATTTTTTTAATATTGCAAATAACAAAATAATAGTATATCCCTTCATCCAATAATTCATTACTAAAGACCCTGTATATTCAATACTGTAACATGAAGGGTCGTCCTGGTGCACACTACGCCCCAGACCCTCGCTCTGTCTGTCTCGTCTCTCCTCAAGCAACATCGTGGCCCAGAATCGGAAATACTCGGCAGGGATTTTGGCTGTGCCAGCGATGGGCCGCCCGTGGAAGTGTCACATTGCATTAAAGTGAAGCTCTGTGGGTTGCACGCCACCCTGTCACAGTGAGTTTGGTGAAATACCCTTTAGCAAGAGTCAAGAAAAGTGTTTTTTTTTTCTTTATTTATCCATGTCTGTTGAGACTTTCGCTGTGTGAGAGTTAGGTTTGCTGTTTTGAGTTGAGGTTGGCATTGTCTAACAGCACCGTGAATGATGTTTCATGCCTGGGTGCCCTAACAAGCCCAGTTGCCTGGCATAGTTCCATGCCAAGGGTGAGTGAACAGGCATTGCTTCATCTGAATGCGGTGGTCTCCTGTAACTGGGCTTATGATTTGGACTCAATTAAAAGTGTCAGTACCATTCCTCGCTATGCATTTATGCAAAACCACAGCAGTCATGCATGACTAATAGAGTAAACAGAAAAGTGTTGTTACAGATGAATGGAGTTGCCTGTTATCTTTCTTTTGTATTCTCTACCTCTGTCTGGGTTTTTAAATGTCTGATTTTTCAATGATATAATCTCTCTGATTAATTAGTTCCTTAAAGAACGCTGCATATTCTGCATAGGAGGATTTGCATGCATTATACCCCTCTTTGTGCTCATGTGCTTTGAAATCACTGTAATTCTATAACCAAACGTCTCTGGAACTGGGTCGGCACAGTTTCAGTGAAATTCAAGTCATCTGAGTTAAATATAATGATGTTTTTGGTATCTTGGCACTGAACATCCATCTCCACTTCTTGGTGTGAGTGGACGTATTTGAACTTTTTAGCACAGGTTTGACATCATATGCGAATAGTTTTAGTCTCAATTATTTTGCGTTCCATGTAAGGGTGAGTAAATATCAGAATGTAGTGGAACGATCACTTTAAAGTTACATCACAACGTGCAGCGCTAAATTCCGTCTTCTTTTTTCCACAGGGTGACAAACTCATCATTAAAGGTGGAAAAATCGTAAATGATGACCAGTCATTTTATGCCGACATTTACATTGAAGATGGAACCATTAAGTAAGATTGAATTATTTTTCAAATCTACATATATATTGCATCAATATTTGATTGCAATATTATATATTTGACATTCATTTCATTTAGCAGATCCTTTATCCGAAGCGACTTACAAATGAGTAACATCTCGAGAAATGTTTATTTTGTATTATTCTGACTGGTAGGCAGATTGGCGAGAACCTCATCGTACCTGCTGGTGTGAAGACAGTGGATGCCTATGGGCACATTGTGATCCCAGGAGGCATCGATGTGAACACATGTCTACAGGCCCCTCACCTGGGCATGACCCCGGCAGACGACTTCTATCATGGCACCAGTGCTGCTCTGGCAGGAGGAACCACCATGATCAGTATGTCATCACAACATCTCATATGAAGAGAGCACAAGTAGTTAACAGATCATTAAACTCAGAGTGGAAACAGTAAGTCATTACTGTGGACCGAAAGGAGGGTCTCTGGTAAAAAAGAAAAAAAAAGAAAAGTGTGTGTGGTGTTCAGTATTAGAGCTTGTCGAGACTCATAAAATCAGTAGAATTGGGGTCACAGCGCTGTCACTGTCTGTTCTCTTCTCTTCTGCTCAACTTTCCTTAGATATGCCACTGTACTGTTATGAAGTCGTTTAGGACAGAGAAATGTCTCCTTTACAGCGTTGTTCATTTGCACTGTATTTAAAGGGATAATTCACCCAAAAGTTCAAATTCTGTCTTTACTCGCTTCATGTAGTTCCAATTCTCTTCTTTGGAATCTAGATGAAGATATTTTTAATGAAAGAAATAGAGAGATTTCTGTCCCTCCATTGAAAGTCTATTCGCCCAAATCTCTAAAGCTTCAAAACGTCCATGAATATCCAGCCCGATTTCACGGCAATTCGTACGAATTTTACGAGGTGGCTAATTAGTACTGATTCATACGACCTCACTCGTACAAATTCGTACGATTTTTGCTAATTCGTACATATTTTACGAGTTTCCAAATTCGTATGAATTCGTATGAATGACCTACCCCTGACCCCGCCCCTAAACCTACCCATCACGTGGGTTTAGACAAATCGTACAAATTCGTACGAGTGAGGTCGTATGAATTAGTACGAATTAGCCACCTTTTAATCACTCGTACGAATTGGTCGTGTGATAGCGTTGGAATATCATAAAAAAAAATGAATACAAATAATCCATGTAGTTACTCAATTATAAGCAGCTCATAAAATTGGCAAGCATAATTATATAAGAATTAGAAAAAAATATATATCAATATATAAATATATATATATATATTGCTTAAAATATATCATTTATGACCACAAGCATTTAAAGAGGTAATTACATGGATTTTTTCGCTTATAATGGTAATAAAAATCTTGTACAAAAACAAATATATATGTGTAAAAAACAAGCGGCAATCTCCCTGTCTCTCTCTTGAAACCAACACGGAAGTGACTTAAACTGCAATTCATCGACTGGCCACCGTAAACAGGCTCCAATAGAAAGTCAATACTCCCAACGTTACAGCAGAAAAAAATGCGTTTACAGCCTGGTGCAAAAAGTGGTTTTGGTCTATATAGCTTATTTTGCCCTTCATGAAAACTGAGGGGGGTGAATTTTTTTATAACGTTTAAATTATATTAAGCCTTAAAGTTCTGCATAATTAAGGCGTGGCCACTTGGCGCTACCAAGATGGCGACGGCCGGCTCTTCCCACTTTGGGCTTCAAAAATGCTCTTCAGAAACCTACGGGTGACGTCACGGACACACGTCCATATTTTTTTTACAGTCTATGGTAAAAATCCTCACTCTGATCCTCTATCTGAAATGATCTGTTTTTACGGAGCGGCTCCTTTAAGGCTTGTCGGTACACGGCCACTGTTATGACTGGCTTACAATATTGCATTAGAAACGGTATCAACGCCCCCTTGTCTTGACGTGGTGACACTCATCCGGTGTACTGTAGGCAGATGTCAGCTGTTGAGCGCCTGAACGCCAGTGGTGCGAAAATGTATGTTCATCGATGTCTTGCTCTGGAGGCAGTCATATGCAAATGCATTTGCCCGTGTGATGTCACAAATCCCACAATATCCAAACAAGCCGTTTTTGTTGCTTGATTGAATGAATGCTTTGCTTATAATGAGGAGGACGTTTTAAGCTGTGAAACTTGCAGGATGCTTTATGGTACAAAGACCTCTTATATTATGTCAAAAGATCAAGGCAAATTTGATTTCTTATGTCATGACCCCTTTAAAGTCAGTATAAAGTGGAAGTTGTGATAGATATGCGTCACAATAGGGAAGAAAAGACTGAGTGAAACGCTTCTAGAACAAGCAAAAATGTAGGGCGGGACTTGATTCTGTCCATCGGGAATTGATTGGATGGTTGGCTAGATGTCGCTGCAAGAGGTGGAAGTTATTTTGGTTAAAGATTTCGAGGACATAAATGATTTATAATAAATATTAAAAATGCAATATTCTATAAAAAAACAAGAAATGTCCATGTTGATTTCATGGTGACTTTAACACAGGAGTCTATTTCTCAGCATATTAAGCATGCGTTTTTCATCAGTCTGCTCTCCTCGTCTTGCTCACTTCCTTTAGTTGACCATGTTGTGCCTGAACCGGGTTCTAGTTTACTGGCAGCATATGACCAGTGGAGGGATACGGCAGACAAGAGGTCGTGCTGTGATTACTCCCTGCACATCGACATCACTCGCTGGCATGATGGGCTGTTTGAGGAGCTGGAGTCTCTGGTCAAAGATAAAGGTGATGTGAGATTTCAGGTGTGACTTTGATATTTTTGCTTTCTGAATTATTAGGTTTATTTTTTTTAACACGCATAAAAACACATTTTGCATTCAGCTCTAGAAAGATATATCACATTATATTAACAAATGTGTGTTTTTCTTTTTAGGGGTCAACTCATTTCTCATCTTCATGGCTTATAAGGACAGGTACCAGAGCTCTGATACACAGGTTTGTTGGCCGTGTGATTCTGAATTTATTGTACAACTTTAATTAGTCACATATACTGTAAAATCTCAAAATATTTAGTAGAAGTAGAAATCCTTTGTAGCATTATAAATGTATTTACTGCCACTTTTGATAAATTCAATGCTAAAATAAAATTATTAAATTGTTTTGGGTTTTTACTTTCTGAAAAAAACTTTTGAACAGCAATGTATGTTTTATAGATCATATTTCCAAGAGCAAACACTCTCTGTGTCTGTAGATCTATGAGATGTTTAGTGCCATGAGAGAACTGGGAGCCATTGCACAGGTTCATGCTGAAAACGGTGACATCATTGATGAGGTAACTATGATTTGTTACCATTTAAAGGGATAGTTCACCCAAAAATGAATATTCTCATCATTTACTCACCCACAAGATGTTGAGGCCCCATTGACTTCCATAGTATTTTTTTCTTCTCCGTACTATGGAAGTCAATGGGGTACGTCAACTGTTTGATTACCGACATTCTTCAAAATATCTGCTTTTGTGTTCAGCAGAAGAAAGAAATTTAACCAGTTTGGAAGAACTTGAGGATGAATAAATGATGACAAAATGTTTTTTTTTTGGGTGAACTTTCCCTTTAATCTAAATGTCTTCAATTGCTAATGCATTTCAATAATGTCATAAAATACACATTTCTTTCCATCCAACTGTCTTTTTCTCCATACTTGGATCTATTGTTGGTTTTGTTTGTAATCTCAGGAACAGAAGAAGCTTTTGGATCTGGGAATCACTGGTCCAGAGGGACACGTACTGAGCCACCCAGAGGAGGTTAGTCTTACCATGGAATCATAATTGACCATTCTTGTTTGTTTGTTTTTTGGGGATTATTGGCGTATTTATTATAACCACAACCATCCAATAATTTCCCTATGGACAAAATCAAGTCCCACCCTAAATTTGTTCTTGTTCAAGAAGCAGTTTTACTCGGATATACTCGGATAAGCCATTTGTCTTATTAAAAGTCAGTGTACCATCAGAATGATTTTGAAACTATATTTTAAGCAATAAAAAAAAAAACGTATATACAGAAACGGAAGTTTCGATCTTCTTTTCCTCCCTTTTGTGGGATATATATTTCAATGAAACAGGTTTTTAAACAAGAAAAAAGTTAGGGCGGGACTTGATTTGGTCCATGGGGAATTGATTGGATGGTTAGATCATTGTGGTTTGTTATTGGTGAATCTCATGTGAGTGACAGGTTGCCCCGCCCTCGTGCCAGTAAACACGTCATCAGAGAAGAGATGTTACTGCAAGAGAGAGAATAAGTTATTTGGATTAAAGATTATGAGGGCACATGAATAAAAAAAATTATGCACAGATAATTACTGCAATATTCCATTAAAAAAAAATAAGAATGGCAAGTTTTTATTTCATGGTGACTTGAAATCCAATTCTCTTCTACCACTGGTTTACACTGTTTTGGTGTTTTTTTTCCAGGTGGAGACTGAGGCTGTGTATCGAGCCATCACCATTGCTAAACAGGCCAACTGCCCTCTCTACATCACCAAGGTGATGAGCAAACCTGCTGCTGATGTCATCGCCAAGGCCAGGAAAAAGGGTACGACTGTTGATAGAGCTGCTCTAAAACACTGTGTCCCAGAAACACAAAGAAAACCATGAGAAGAGGCAGTAAATATTTGTGTAATGTGCTCTGATTCATTTTCAGGCATGGTCATCTATGGGGAACCAGTAGCAGCCAGCCTGGGCACAGACGGATCGCACTACTGGAGCAAACACTGGGCTGAAGCTGCTGCGTTTGTCATGTCTCCTCCTCTCAGCCCAGACACCAGCACTCCAGACTACCTCAGCTCACTGCTGTCCTGGTGAGCAGCAAACATCCATCCATCCACCTCTATCTATCTGTTATCCATCCATCCATCCATCCATCCATCTCTATCTATCTGTTATCCATCCATCTCTATCTATCTGTTATCCGTCTGTCTGTCTGTCCATCCATCCATCCATCTCTATCTATCTGTTATCCGTCTGTCTGTCTGTCCATCCATCCATCCATCCATCCATCTCTATCTGTTATCCGTCTGTCTGTCTGTCCGTCCATCCATCCATCCATCCATCCATCCATCCATCCATCTCTATCTATCTGTTATCCATCCATCCATCCATCCATCCACCTCTATCTATCTGTTATCCACCCATCTCTATCTATCTGTTATCCGTCTGTCTGTCTGTCTGTCCATCCATCCATCCATCTCTATCTATCTGTTATCCATCTGTCTGTCCATCCATCCATCTCTATCTATCTGTTATCCGTCTGTCTGTCTGTCCATCCATCCATCCATCCATCCATCTATCCATCTCTATCTATCTGTTATCCGTCTGTCTGTCCATCCATCCATCTCTATCTATCTGTTATCCGTCTGTCTGTCTGTCCATCCATCCATCCATCCATCCATCTCTATCTATCTGTTATCCGTCTGTCTGTCCATCCATCCATCTCTATCTATCTGTTATCCGTCTGTCTGTCTGTCCATCCATCCATCCATCTCTATCTATCTGTTATCCGTCTGTCTGTCCATCCATCCATCCATCCATCCATCCATCCATCCATCCATCCATCTGTTATCCGTATGTCTGTCTGTCTGTCCATCCATCCATCCATCCATCCATCCATCCATCTGTTATCCGTATGTCTGTCTGTCCATCCATCCATCCATCCATCCATCCATCTGTTATCCGTCTGTCTGTCCGTCCATCCATCCATCCATCCATCCATCCATCCATCCATCCATCTGTTATCTGTCTGTCTGTCCGTCCATCCATCCATCCATCCATCTGTTATCCGTCTGTCTGTCTGTCCATCCATCGTCCGTCCGTCCATCCATCCATCTGTTATCCGTCTGTCTGTCTGTCCATCCATCCATCCATCTCTATCTATCTGTTATCCGTCTGTCTGTCCATCCATCCATCCATCCATCCATCTGTTATCCGTATGTCTGTCTGTCTGTCCATCCATCCATCCATCCATCCATCTGTTATCCGTATGTCTGTCTGTCCATCCATCCATCCATCCATCCATCTGTTATCCGTCTGTCTGTCCGTCCATCCATCCATCCATCCATCCATCCATCCATCCATCCATCCATCCATCTGTTATCTGTCTGTCTGTCCGTCCATCCATCCATCCATCCATCCATCTGTTATCTGTCTGTCTGTCCGTCCATCCATCCATCCATCCATCCATCCATCCATCCATCCATCCATCTGTTATCTGTCTGTCTGTCCGTCCATCCATCCATCCATCCATCCGTTTTTTTTTTTTTTTTTTTTAAATTTGACAATTGAAATTCCTCCACTTTCATGTTTGATGTTTTCAGTGGGGATCTTCAGGTAACCGGCAGTGCTCACTGCACCTTCACTACGGCACAGAAAGCTGTTGGAAAAGACGACTTCACCCTCATCCCAGAGGGGACTAATGGCATTGAGGAGCGTATGAGCATCGTCTGGGATAAAGCTGTGGTAGGTCTTCCTTATGTTTTCGATAATTAAAAAAACAATACATTTAAAATGTTTAAAAAAAATAATAATAATATATATATATACTCCAACACTACAAACGACTGTGCTTTAAAGATTACATTCTTTGTAAAGGGCCATTCTGTGATATTTAAATCCTCTATTGGTCATATGTCATGATGAATAAACATGAAGTCTTCTATGTGCTTGCATTTGTGACAGCTCTCTTATTTCACTGATGTTTTTGTCGCATAGGCCACAGGTAAAATGGACGAGAATGATTTTGTTGCAGTAACAAGCACAAACGCTGCAAAAATCTTCAACATGTATCCTCGGAAAGGCCGGATCGCTGTTGGATCTGACGCCGACATTGTGATCTGGAACACCAAGGAGACAAAAATCTTCTCTGCCAAATCTCACAACCTGGTATGAGAATTTCTCAGTGGCAAAAAAAAAAAAAAGATAACCAGTTAACAGTTATTTGTATGTATCCAACATCATTGTACTTATTCAACTATTGATTTAGAGTGGGAATGGTTTTACAGTAGAATTCTTTCTGAACTGAACAGAATTCTGTTAAATCCTTGTAAAGTTCTATTGGAATTTTGTGGACGTGAAATATAATCTCCTCTGTCCTTATTCTACGTGTGCGCCACAGACAGTGGAAGTGAATATCTTTGAGGGAATGGAGTGCCGAGGCTTTCCTGTATTGGTCATCAGTCAGGGCAGGATCGTTCTGGAAGACGGGAAACTCAATGTGACCGAGGGTTCAGGCCGCTTCATCCCTAGAAAAGGCTATCCCGACTATGTCTACAAGAGAATCAAGGCCCGGGGCAGGGTAAGAATGTCTGTGTGTGATTGTGAATGCTGACTCACTCATTTCAGGGGTCAAATAACACATCTAACACCCTCACAGGCTTTTAAAGTTTAAAAAGACTCAACTTTTGTATTCTGAAGGGTCACTTTCATGGTCAAATCTTTTATTTTGCAGATGGCTGATGCCCGTGGTGTTCCTAGAGGAAACTATGATGGCCCCGTCCATGATGTCATAAGTATGACCAACTCTGTACCACCCACTCCCACCTCTAGGGGGCCCTCATGTCCAGGAAAGAACCCACTGGGACCGTCCAGAAATTTGCACCAATCTGGGTTCACTTTATCTGGTAAGCACCTTTGTTATTGATTTCTTGCTCCGTCTTACTGTATTTACTGTAGTGACAGGGTTCAGAGAAAACAAGGTTCTGAAAGTAAAAATCCCAATCATTTCCTCCACAGGGTATGAATTTAATTTAATTTATTCACTTTTTAAATTCCATTTTTAGAGGGTAGTATTACATAATATAGGCCTAGTATAATACCACTATTCGAAAGTTACATATACAGTACCAGTCAATATTTTTTTTATTTTTTTTTAATTAATAGTTCTATTCAGCAAGAAATGATGCATTAAATTGATTAAGAGTGACGTTGAAGATCTCATCACCGGAATAAATTGCATTTTAAAATGTATATAAAATATAGAAAAAAAAAAATATTTCACAATTTTTTATAATATTTGACTTATTTTCAAATGAATGCAGCCTTGGTGAGCATAAAATATTTATTTAAAACATATTATGACATAAAACTTCTTTAATTTAGATACATTTCTGAGATCATGAAAAAAAGTTTAATAAAAAATTACTTCTCTTAAAACATAAAACACTTAAAACATTTTGTGTATTTTATAATAATCAGTAGATTTATATTGATTACATCATGCTTCATGAGTTGTTCATCCCCTCATGTTAGGTTCACAGTCCTTGTAATTTAGCATTGCATTGTACTGTATTTTAATATGTAATGATGATTTATCTTGGACCTTGGTTTGATTCATGGCTTAGAAGATTTTATTGAAGATTTTTATGGAGAAAAATACTTCCGGAACAAACGCTGCTGAAAACCCACATGTATAATCTGTGAGTCTCTGTGACCTAAATCGAGTGAAGTTCAAACAGACGTACTTGTATTACAGTCAACTTCTATTACATACAACTAAAAACTAAAAACACAACAATGAGTTTCAACCTTTTTCTTTTTTTCGTTTACTCAAAGGCACTCAAAAGGATGACCACATCCCCCGGCGTACGGCACAGAGGATCGTAGCGCCTCCTGGAGGCCGTTCCAATATCACATCCCTCTCTTGAACTTCATCCACCAGGGGATCCAACCGCAACAGTTCGCCTCCTTCAGCTTCCAGTTTTATATTACCCGTATCATGCAAATAATTAACCCAATAAATCCATACGCTCACTATGACCCAATAGGCTATGCAGCAACTCAATATAGCTTTCCATGAATTCATATTCACTATGTAATCTGCCTCCTCCTCACTCATAATGTAGCATGCTCCTCGATCAGAGTCACCCAGAATACATTCTGCTTTAGCGTAGCAATAGCATCGATGGCGTTAAGACGGCTAGTGATTGTTGTGTGTTTGTGAACCACTGAATGGATCTCATTCTACTCTAGTGCTGCCTTTAAACCAGTGCTTTCCTCCTGTGGCGAGACGTTTAAAGGGCAAGTGTGTTTTCTGCACCGGTAGTGTGGCAAGACTGACATACTTCCCCTTTAAGAGGCTGTGCTCTGTCATTGTGCTTTAAAGAAAAATGAGGGTCTTAGTGATAAGATATTAAAAATAAAGCGTTATCGTTCGGTTCGTCAATGTTTTATCTAAGAATAGAGCAAAAAAAAAAATGGATTGCAGACCTCTGCGTCTAACTGCATTCACGATTTACTGTTGGTTTTGAGAAGTAAGATGTCATCGAGCTGAGACTCATCACAGATGCAGCAATCAATGCATTTTTTGTACGTTTCTAAGAGAACGTTTGGTGCTCTCGATCTATAGATCAAACACATGCCAATGTGTCACTTTTTGAATCCAGATGAAAGTTTTTAATTCTTTTGAGTTTTATATTCCTGTAATGCAACAGTCTTTTGTAGTCTTAACCAGTATTTGCTGGAATCCTCCATATTAGATGTACTGTAATTTTCGTGTGATATTTCAGAGTTGAAGGTGAAGGTCGGTGAAGCTGAGAGAAAGAGATCAGTGGATTGTCTTTTCTACCTTCTTGTTCATTCTGTAAATATGGATTTTTTTTTGTTTTTCAGTTTTGTGTGTGGTTTGCATGTCCTCAATAAAACAATGGCTAAAGAAAAGTGCATTTTCTGATAATTTCACAACAGTGCTTCTGTAATTTTGTTTCAAAGTATAGTTTTTTTCATTATGGACACATTTTCCAGGTTTGGTACGTTTAATTCCATGTTTATAGAATTATATTTTTTTTTAAGTTTTTTTTTAGAAATAAACACTTTTATTCAGCAAGCAAAGATTCATTCAATTGATCAAAAGTGACAGTAAGGATATTCATAATGTTAATATTTATAAATCCTTTGCCATCCCAAATATATATATATATATAATAAAATAGAAAGCAATTATTTAAAATTGTAATATTTCACAGTATTATGTTGTTGTTGTTTTTTACTCTTTTCCATGGTAAACTTCTATAAAAAATATATGGTCGACAAAGTATCGTACAATCCGGCGTCGGGTTCTGACGTCAAACTGACTTTCATTTCCAACCAAAATGCAACCCCTGCAACCAAAATCCTCCCGACTGACGTTACTACTTTCTACTCAAGGACCTTGATAGAAATGTAGTGGAGTAAAAAGTACGATATTTGTCTTTCCAAATGAAGTTAAAGTAAAAAGTTTCCAGAAAAAATAACTCTAGATAGTACAGATACTCAAAAAGTGTACTTAAGTAAGGTACTCAAGTAAATGTACACTTTGTCCATCTCGGATGGTCGACCACAGCAAATATAGCCTAATTTCAAAAACCATTATTTATACAGCAAAAGAAAAATAAATCTGCTGTTGCATTTCCATAACATTCCAAAAGAAGAAGAAAATAGGCTACAGAGAGATTGATTCCTGCACTCGGAACAAAGAAAGGTCAAATTTACATTCACTCTCTACTTTTCACTTTCGAAAACAAAACAAAAAGTGGGCGAGACCATTTATACTGCACCGTAAAGCAACAATCTCGAATTCCATTGCTGACTTCCTCTTATACAGAATCACATTTCAGGCTTAAAACATCTGATTACAGTCACAAATGTTTGATTCCATTCAGCTTGTAATGCGTGGACAAAGGTACTCTATGTAACTTTTGTTATCAGCTATAATAAAGTTTGCAAAGTCATGATCACCAAAGGTTAAAGAGGCCCAGGCGAGAGGGATCGAGTGTCTGCTTTCTCCAGAAACACGTGTCATCCGCTGGGGTTGATGAAGCAGGACAGGTGGAGATGTCATCAGAGCTTTATTAAGAGCGCTGTTCACCCGCTTTACCACAAAGACACATGAACAACAAGCATCTGATGCTCAAACGCCATGTTGTATTGTCAGCTGCATCAGTTTTCTCAAGCATTGTTGACACATGTTGCTACTTTTTTCAAAAAGAATAATGTAACAAAATAATAATGTAACAAATAATAATAATAATGTAATGAATGTATAATATCACTGTAATATGTATAATATTGTAATAAACGTATAATAACACTGTAATGTATAATTACATTTTAATAAACATATAATTAGCCTACATTGTAATACACGTATAATTACATTGTAATAAATGTATAAGACTGTAACAAATGTATAATTACTTTTTTACACTACTTTTTACTAAAAGAATTGCTACTATTTCAAAAAGAATCGCTACTTTTTCAAAAATAATAATGTAACAAAATAATAATGTAACAAATGTTTAATAACACTGTAATAAACGTATAATATCACTGTAATGTATAATTACTTTGTAATAAACGTATAATTACTTTATAATAAATGTATAATAACACTGTAATAAATGTATAATTACATTGTAATAAATTACATTGTAATAAATGTATAATAAGACTGTAAGAAATGTATAATTACTTTTTTACACTACTTTTCACAAAAAGAATTGCTACTATTTCAAAAAGAATCGCTACTTTTTACAAAAATAATCGCTACTTTTTCAAAAAAGAATCGCTACTTTTTCAAAAAGAATAATGTAACAAAATAATAATGTAACAAATGTATAATAATAATAATGTAACAAATGTATAATATCACTGTAATAAATGTATAATTACATTGTAATAAACATATAATAACACTGTAATGTATAATTACATTTTAATAAACATATAATTACATTGTAATAAATGCATAATAACACTGTAATAAATGTATAATTACATTGTAATAAACGTATAATTATATTTTAATAAATGTATAATAACACTGTAACAAATGTATAATTACTTTTTACACTACTTTTTACTAAAAGAATTGCTACTATTTAAAAAAAAATCGCTACTTTTTCAAAAAGAATAATGTAACAAAATAATAATGTAACAAATGTATAATAACACTGTAATAAATGTATAATTACATTGTAATAAACGTATAATATCACTGTAATGTATAATTACTTTCTAATAAACGTAGAATTACTTTGTAATAAATGTATAATAACACTGTAATAAATGTATAATTACATTGTAATAAACATAATTACATTTTAATAAACGTATAATAACATTGTAATAAATGTATAAGACTGTAACAAATGTATAATTACATTTTTTACACTACTTTTTTCAAAAAGAATCGCTACTTTAATTCATTTATTAACACTGTAAACGATGTATAATTACATTGTAATAAACGTATAATTACATTGTAATAAATGTATAATTACTTTGTAATAAATGTATAATAACACTGTAATAAATGTATAATTACTTTGTAATAAACGTATAATATCACTGTAATGTATAATTACTTTCTAATAAACGTATAATTACTTTGTAATAAATGTATAATTACTTTTTACAAAAAGAATCTAACAAATGTATAACACTGTAATAAATGTGTAATTACATTGTAATAAACGTATAATTACATTGTAATAAACGTATAATAACACTGTAAAAAATGTATAACACTGTAATAAATGTATAATAACACGGTAAAAAATGTATAATAACACTGTAAGAAATGTATAATTACTTTGTAATAAACGTATAATAACACTATTAAATGTATAATAACACTGTAATAAATGTATAATAACACTGTAATAAATGTATAATTACATTGTAATAAACATATAATTACATTGTAAAAAATGCATAATTACATTGTAATAAATGTATAATAACACTGTAATAAATGTATAATTACATTGTAATAAATGTATAATTACATTGTAATAAAAATGACATTGTAATAAACGTATAATAACCACTGTATTAAATGTATAATAACACTGTAATAAATGTATAATTACATTGTAATAAACGTATATTTACATTGTAATAAATAAATGTATAATAACACTGTAATAAATGTATAATTACATTGTAATAAACCTATAACACTGTAAAAAATGTATAAGAACACTGTAATAAATGTATCATAACACTGTAATAAATGTAAAATAACACTGTAATAAATGTATAATAACACTGTAATAAATGTATAATTACATTGTAATAAACGTATAATAACACTATTAAATGTATAATAACACTGTAATAAATGTATAATAACATAATTACATTGTAATAAATGTATAATAACACTGTAATAAATGTATAATTGCATTGTAATAAACGTATAATAACACTATTAAATGTATAATAACACTGTAATAAATGTATAATAACATAATTACATTGTAATAAATGTATAATAACACTGTAATAAATGTATAATTACATTGTAATAAACGTATAATTACATTGTAATAAAAATGACATTGTAATAAAAGTATAATAACCACTGTATTAAATGTATAATAACACTGTAATAAATGTATAATTACATTGTAATAAACGTATATTTACATTGTAATAAATGTATAATAACACTGTAATAAATGTATAATTAGGCCTACACTGTAATAAATGTATAATAACACTGTAATAAATGTATAATTACATTGTAATAAATGTATAATTAGGGCCTACACTGTAATAAATGTATCATAACACTGTAATAAATGTATAATAACACTGTAATAAATGTATAATAACACTGTAATAAATGTATAATTACATTGTAATAAACGTATAATAACACTATTAAATGTATAATAACACTGTAATAAATGTATAATAACATAATTACATTGTAATAAATGTATAATAACACTGTAATAAATGTATAATTACATTGTAATAACATATAATAACACTATTAAATGTATAATAACACTGTAATGTATAATAACATAATTACATTGTAATAAATGTATAATAACACTGTAATAAATGTATAATTACATTGTAATAAACGTATAATTACATTGTAATAAAAATGACATTGTAATAAAAGTATAATAACCACTGTATTAAATGTATAATAACACTGTAATAAATGTATAATTACATTGTAATAAACGTATATTTACATTGTAATAAATGTATAATAACACTGTAATAAATGTATAATTAGGCCTACACTGTAATAAATGTATCATAACACTGTAATAAATGTATAATAACACTGTAATAAATGTATAATAACACTGTAATAAATGTATAATTACATTGTAATAAACGTATAATAACACTATTAAATGTATAATAACACTGTAATAAATGTATAATAACATAATTACATTGTAATAAATGTATAATAACACTGTAATAAATGTATAATTACATTGTAATAAACGTATAATAACACTATTAAATGTATAATAACACTGTAATAAATGTATAATAACATAATTACATTGTAATAAATGTATAATAACACTGTAATAAATGTATAATTACATTGTAATAAACGTATAATTACATTGTAATAAAAATGACATTGTAATAAAAGTATAATAACCACTGTATTAAATGTATAATAACACTGTAATAAATGTATAATTACATTGTAATAAACGTATATTTACATTGTAATAAATGTATAATAACACTGTAATAAATGTATAATTAGGCCTACATTGTAATAAACGTATAACACTGTAAAAAATGTATAATAACACTGTAATAAGTGTATAATAACACT